AGGGCCGGGGCGGGAGAGTGCTAGAGTTTTGTCTAGTCAAGTTGAGTGGGATCAATTCCAATCTGTTACCTCCGAGGATGTGGACAGGCTGCTTGGACGAGTGAAGCCAACCACCTGTCTCCTGGATCCTTGCCCATCCTGGCTAATAAAAGCTAGCCGGGAAGGACTGGGCGATGGGCTTCGTGGGGTGGTGAATGCTTCCCTCCGTGAGGGAGCCTTCCCAAACCCGCTGAAAGAGGCGGTTATTAAACCACTTCTTAAAAAACCATCTTTAGATGCGGCCACGATGGCCAACTATCACCCAGTCTCAAATCTTCCATTCTTGGGCAAGGTGATTGAGCGAGTGGTTGCTGAACAACTCCAGGCACGCCTGGAAGAAGCAGACCATTTGGATCCCTTCCAGTCGGGATTCAGGCCTCATCATGGGACTGAAACTGCCTTGGTCGCACTGGTTGATGATCTCCGGCGGGCTAGGGACAAAGGTGAGAGCTGTTTCCTAGTTCTGCTGGATCTCTCAGAGGCGTTTGATACCATCGACCATAACATCCTTCTGGACCGTCTTGAGGGGCTGGGAGCTGGGGGCACTGTCATACAGTGGTTCCGCTCCTTCCTCCTGGACCGTGTTCAGAAAGTGGTGGTGGGGATGAGCGTTCAGATCCCTGGGCTCTCACTTGTGGGGTGCCTCAGGGTTCTGTCCTCTCCCCCATGCTTTTCAACATTTACATGCAGCCGCTGGGAGAGATCATCAGGAAGTTTGGGCTGGGTGTTCATCAGTATGCGGATGATACCCAGCTCTACCTCTCTTTTAAATCAGAACCAGTGAAGGCAGTGAAGGTCCTGTGTGAGTGTCTGGAGGCGGTTGGAGGATGGATGGCGGCTAACAGATTGAGGTTGAATCCTGACAAGACAGAAGTACTGTTTTTGGGGGACAGGAGGCGGGCAGGTGTGGAGGACTCCCTGGTCCTGAATGGGGTAACTGTGCCCCTGAATGACCAGGTGCGCAGCCTGGGAGTCATTTTGGACTCACAGCTGTCCATGGAGGCACAGGTCAAATCTGTGTCCAGGGCAGCTGTTTACCAGCTCCATCTGGTACGTAGGCTGAGACCCTATCTGCCTGCAGACTGTCTCGCCAGAGTGGTGCATGCTCTGGTTATCTCCCGCTTGGACTACTGCAATGCACTCTACATGGGGCTACCTTTGAAGGTGACTCGGAAACTACAACTAATCCAGAATGCGGCAGCTAGACTGGTGACTGGGGGCGGACGCCAAGACCATATAACACCGGTCTTGAAAGACCTACATTGGCTCCCAGTACTTTTCCGAGCACAATTCAAAGTGTTGGTGCTGACCTTTAAAGCCCTAAACGGCCTCAGTCCAGTATACCTGAAGGAGCGTCTCCACCCCCATCGTTCTGCCCGGACGCTGAGGTCCAGCGCCGAGGGCCTTCTGGCGGTTCCCTCATTGTGAGAAGCAAAGCTACAGGGAACCAGGCAGAGGGCCTTCTCGGTAGTGGCGCCCGCCCTGTGGAACGCCCTTCCAGCAGATGTCAAAGCGATAAACAACTACCTGACATTCAGAACACATCTTAAGGCAGCCCTGTTCAGGGAAGTTTTTAACGTGTGATATTTTAGTGTATTTTTGGTTCTATGGAAGCCGCCCAGAGTGGCTGGGGAGGCCCAGCCAGATGGGCGGTGTACAAATAATAAATTATTATTATTATTATTATTATTATTATTAGTGGAAAGAGAGCTCTGTGTGGTGTCATTCCCCCTGTTTCCAATGGCAGGAAGAAACAAGAGATATAAACTCTTCTCCTTTCTGTCATTCTCTCTCTCACTCACTCTCTCTCACTCTCTCTCTCTTCTTCAAGCTGCAACGAATGCACACATGGCTATGCTTGATCTAGCTCAGGCAGAATCCTGATAGTGGTTATGCTATAAATATAAGTATTTTACCTGCATAGTTTTACTGCTACCTTTGCTGTGAACCAATGCAAGACTGTTAAGTAAGTAAACAATATTTTTAAAGCTTACTTTACAAGTCGTTGCCTGATTCTTTGTTATGTGGGGAAACCAAGGCGAAGCCAGCTTAATTCCTAAGCTGCAACTGCTCAAAACAGAAGGCTTTGCAAGCTAATTTCCCAAAGCTTCTATTTTTGCTGCCACGGATGGGATTTTAAAACACTGTATAAACCCTCAAACATGGGAGACTGGAGGAATAAATTGTAAATAATATATCCTCTCCTACCTACTAAAGCCCAACTCACAGCTTCTACACCTGAAGGTTAGTCTAAAAAGGCTCCTGCTCTTGCTCACTGAAGGGAATTACTCTTCCTGCCTTCCTGGAACAGTTAGTATAGAACTTTGGCATTGCAGAACATGACTCATGGGGAGACTGTTCCACAGCAATTCCCCTCGGCATTAGCTGCAGGATGGCATCCTCTGCAATATTGCTTGGCATGGGGAAGAGATTGCTGCCACCTCCACCACAATTCTTCTCTTTTCCCATACAGTAGAAGGGCTGTCCTGAGTCCAAAGCAAGCAGTGCTGAGCCTGCCTGTGCAGCAGGGAAGGAGCTGGGTTTTATCATGTGGCTTCTGCTCTAGTGATATTGCCCCAAGCTTTCTGGACTCACAATTCCTTTAACAAATGCAGCCCTGGCCAGGTGGCGCCCATGCCCCTTCTCCTTCCTCCCACTTCTTTCATAGCAGTGACAGCCTCAAGAAGGGAACCACTGGGAAGATTAACAGTATCTGACAAGTGGAAGACTTTGCAGCACAGCTGAGTGGGCCTGCCTTCTGTGTTTGCAAATGGACTCTGATTCCTGACCTGCCTAGTGGTGATAGCTGCCACTTGAGCCTGCCTGCTTCCCCCAGACACATGGATCCCAGCCTGCCCAGAGACTTGTAGAGGCAGGCATCATGTCAAGAACCCTCTGATTCTTCCACAACCTGACACACACTTTGTGGACTTTCTAAGGAAATGGGCTGGAAACTGACAGCCCCCACCCCCCACAATTCTTTGCAATTGACAGCAGGCTGGAATACAGGAAGGTGGAGTCCTAGGGCACTTTTTACACAGACATGACGGCTGTGGCAATGACACTCTATCAGTTATGCAAAGCGAAATGGCAGCCAGCCCTTTGGACCTTGTTGTAACCTGCTGGGCGAATGATGCTCCAAACTCCCAGAATTGCAGCATGGAGGGCGCCAGTCAGTTGGAACCTGGGTAGCAGAATTGCCAAAGAGAGATGAGAAAAGAAGCAGCATCTTTCCTTTTAACATAAAGTTTTTTTGTTGAAATTTTCAGCAATGGACAAGAAGGGGGGGAGAGAACAAATATCTAAAGAATGCATCCTTAGAGGTGTTGAGTCTGGTGCCAGCTGGCAGAAGTAGCCTGAAGTGTGTGTGTGTTACTGCACCTTTGCAAACCTGATTAATGACATATCTGTATGTGGGCTGGTGCAAAAACTAGCGAGGCTGCCCCAGATCCAGCAACTGAGATAATCAAGCTTCCACTTGCTGGTTCTTTTGCTGGGCTGGGAGCTGTGCAAGCAAATAACCCCCACTTCAGGCACATCCACAGTGCAGCACATATCTCTGCCTTAAGTCACTGGCCTTCTTCTCAAGGCAGCCACAGCAGTTCCCCCTGCCCTCTCCTCCAACACTAAAACTCATGGGCATCCAGTGAATCTAAATGTTGGAAGATCCAGGACAGATCAAAGACATCACTTCTTCATGCAGTGCAGAGTGAAAGTATAGAACTCACTCATTTAGAAGGCAGTGATGCCACCAACTTGGCTTTAAAATAAATTACACAAATACATGGAGGAGGAGAGGGCTATCAGTGGCTACTAGCCTTGATGGCTATGCTCTGCTTCCACTGTCAGAAGCAGTATACCTTTGAATACCAGTTTGCTTTCACACTCATGTCCTTAACAGGCTTCCTTGGAGGGCATCTGGTTTGCCACTGTGAGAACAGGATGCTAGATTAGATGGGCCCCTTCGTCTTGTTCCAGCAGGTTCTGCTTATGTTCTCATAGTCAGCTGCTCTTAATAGCACATGACATGCAATTGCCTTTGAACAGAAAGCAACAGGCACGTGTGTTATCCTACAAATAAAATTAAATAAATCTGCATTACAGCAATACCTTTATGTGAGCAACCAACCTGTCACAAGACTGTGTGCCGGCTTTCAAGTCCTCAAGACTCCCTTGGTCCATATTAGATTCAGACAGAGACAGCTTCATCAACAGGCATAGAGCTCAATGCAACTGTTGTGCTTCCGCAAGATGAATCAGCGCCTGCCAAATCACCCCCCCCAAACTCACTTTTGATTTCTTTGCCATGTCTTTTTCTGACATTTTGGTTGCCTGCATAATGGTGTCACTCTAATGTGAATCTCTGGACAGTGGCCCATAAATCTCTAAAGCCCTCCTTCCTCAATCCATCTGACCTCATGAAAGGCTTCCACAGATTTGGGAAGGGGGAGCGCATAAACCCATGTGCAGTAAGTTGTTCTTCTGCCATCTTCACAGGAGATACCCACCAGTGTCCCTCCCTCCTGCAGCTGTCAAGAGGCTGATGCTGCCACCTTCAGCTCACCAGTCGTCTGCTTCAGCTCTGGAATTCATCCATTACTCACTCAGACATGCAACCAGCAGATTTCTGGCACCCTGTTTTGCCTGCAGCACATCCTTTTCCAGCCCCAGGGTGGGCGAGTTCTGTGTTGTGCTTCCCCAAGCTGAAGCAGCACCTGCCAAATCATTTTGCAGAAAAGGAGGCTGGTCTGGTCCTCCTGCCAGCAGCTGCCACCTCCTCCTCCTTGGCAGGGAAGGTCCCCTACCTGTCCAGCGTTTCTACTTGAAACCAGAAGATGAATGGGTCATAGGAACATAGGAAGCTGCCTTATACTGAGTCAGACCATTGCTCTATCTAGCTCAGTATTGACTGGCAGAAGCTGTTGAGGATTTCTGGCAGGGGGATCTTGTCAAGCCCTACCTAGAGATGCCAGGGATTGAACCTGGGACCTTTTGCTTGCAAGACAGATCCTCTACCTCTGAGCTATGGCCCTTCCCCTTTGTCTTCCCCACTGCACCACCACTGCACTTCTCCCGCAGAAGAGAATGGCAATGATGATTAATAGTAATAGTAATAATAGTGGAGGTGCCTGCTTCCAGGCCCTGGGGGAAGGAGAGAAACCGGGGCGTCTCTAATGAAGCCCTTGAGGGACAAGGAGTGTCGTGGGAAGCTCTGGGCTGGAGGGACTGTGAGGCCGACAAAAGGAACAGGGCTTTCAGGAGGAGGGAAGTGACTGGAATAGCAAGTGAGGGACGGGCGTCTTTGAAGGGGACTCTAGTGCTGCCTCCGCGACTGTGTGTCTTTGCTCTGACCTACTTAACGGTGTCATAATCTGATGCAGAAACTTCCTCTAGATGCTAAATATAAGTGGCATTTCCATTGGCTTCCCAACGTTGTTACTCACTTCTAATCCATACCCCCACCCACAAACACACACACCCTCCTACTATGGAACTGCCAACCTGTGGGAAGCAGGGAGCGCCCCTCCTTACTCCCCAAGGAAAAAACAAGGGATTGGATGCAAGCAGAATGGGGAAGAGGGCAGAGAACTGCTTTTACTAAAAACAACATGCGCTAAAGAAAGCTCTTTTGGAGGTGCTCCTGCTCCTTGATGGTGTCCTGCCTTTCCTCCTTTGCTTGCCAAGGGGCTGGGGAGGGGGAATGGGCAACTTCATTCATGAAGGAGTGGTTTGCTGTCACTGAAGGATGGGAGCCCTGAAGGTCAGGGAGGGGATGTGCTGGCAGCCCAGCTGATTGGAGCAATCCAACTGGGCCATCAGGTCCCCACTAGTCCAAAGAAGGCAGCCAAGAGTGGGGAGGGGGGACTAATTATCCAAGGGAAGGGCTTTTAGTGGCCAAGTCCTGACCCTGGGGCTGTTTCAAAGAACTTGCCATTTCCAGCACAGGAGGAGAAGTATAGATGAGTGAGATTAGTAAATACACCAAAGCCAAGGGGACCCACTTTGTCTATATAATCTTACATTGTAACAGTTGTTGTTCACTGCAGAAACCACTATGTTATAAGTTCTATTATCTTGATACTTCGTATATGGTATGTACTTCTGTAGCACAATTGTTTATATAATTTTGTCAAAATATGTTGAATTACAATATTATATTCATTTATATTACTTAGAATATGTACAACAGATGAAGCCCAGGAGGGTGAGTTCTATGACTTTGATATACTACGTATGAACAGGTACCACTGATGAAGCACATGAGAGCAAAACAAGGCATTATTCCGGAAATCCTTGTCAACAATGTGGAACTGTAGTAGGCTCCAATTTGGACTTTATGAACATATGTGGAACAGAAACTAGCAGACATTTGGTCTTTATGAATGAACTGATTTATTGGGACTTCCGTCTATATTATTTCACTTTATTTGTTGTTTATGTGCAAGATGTTGCAACATTTGATGTTGTGATAAGAATATATAGAAGAGTATTGTTTATGTGAATGCACAGGCGGTTACGTCTTGTGTGTTTGTGGAATATATTTCACGTAATGCAAGGTTTGATGTTGTTTTGCAAGACTCCTTGAATCTGGCATCCCCGCTTTTCACTCCCCTCCAGGCTTTTCACACTCAGCCTCTTTGTGCAACATCCCTCAGCTTATGGGGTGAGAAATGTCAGGCTCAAATATGTTGGCTGGCAAGGAAAAAATATGATACGTATAAAAAGGAGAACTCCCTGGATGGCAAGATCCAGGTTTGGAGCAAGTACTCTTTGGGCAGAGCTCCCGCAGATATTTAAAGTCACAAAATATGCAGCAAAGTAAAGCCTTGAAATATAGGTTGTTAGACTTTTAAAATATGCCCTTGTGAGTTCCAAAAACTTCCATCTGCCCCTAGCATAGAAAAAGGCCACGTTGGGTAAGTTAAAAATGATTTACTTACAAACTCCTCAAAGATCAGTTTCATGTGTTTTTCCATACATCAGCCAGAAAACACAGGCAGTGCAACTTGCCTTAGGTACAGTGGTGAACGTTCCTAGATTATTGTTATATGAACACCAGAATGGCTTGAAGCTTGGAGCAGCCAGCTCAGACCTCTTTTCATACTGCGCTTCTCAGCTTGAATGAAGGAGAAAAATAGGCTTGATTATCTTCCTCCCAAGATGAGGGGGAGTGACTTAGCTAAGCCGGCAGGACAGTCTATGGCACTGACCCCTTCATAAATTAATTAGACTTGAGCATGTTGGTTTTATGAGGCTGGTTATCCTGCAAAATCCTCACCTGGTCATGAAACCATGGTTGGAGGCAGCAGTTGCTGGAAGCCACTGGAGGGAAGAGTGCTCTCATGCTTTAATCCTGCTTGAGGGTTTCCTAGAAAAAGCATCTGGTAGGCCACTGTGGGAACAGGATGGAACTATTGACCTACTCCAGCAGGCTCTTCTTATGCTCTTAAATGTTCTGGGCTTCCCTCTCTGAGCAAATGGCTTGCTCTCCACCTTGCACATCTCTCCAGGTGCCTGTGAGTCTGGAAGGATGCCACTCTCTGCTCCAAGGGGGAAAGGATGTTGTGGGATGCAAGCAGCACATTTATCGGAGCCTCCTGACTTGGCCTGGCCAATACACAGAGCGGCTCATCACTGCCTTGCAATTAGCAAAGTACTGGTGCTACACTGAGGTGATCAATTTGTTCCACTGTTGAGCCAGGCCTCTGGAGTGCTGGTATTTAAGGAGAGAGAAAGGCCTGGCAGGCAATTCCAGTTCTGCCCTGCCCCTGGAATAGGAACAAGCTCGTAAAGTTGGCTGCCATTCAGAAGTTTGTCTCCAACAACCAGGGGAACAGAGAGATGAGGAACTTCCACATTTTCCAGAATTCCCTCTCATCTTCCCTGCAGCTTCCTAGTCAAAACAACAGCTACAGTGCTGTTTGCCCCCCCCCCCCCACTTCCCCTTTCAAGAGGCATCCTCCCCTTGCCCATCCCCTCGTCCCTTCTAAATATAACACTGTCTCTGCTTCTGGGCTGACACTCCAGGAGGGTGTCATGCCATCAGTCATCCTTCAACTCCTCAAAGTGGTGTGGGTGGGTGGGTGTCTTAACCACCACCTGGGGCATGAGCTCTTTGCAATCTGAAGTCTGAATTCCTGAAAGGAAACTCTCTAACGCCTAAAAGAAGTAGAAGTGACAAATTCACCCATCTTTGGGGGGGGGGACTTCCTCTTTGAGGGCTAAGGTGTGCTGTACTTAATCCCCACCAACAAGGCTCTTCGGTTATTTCCCCTTTTTGTTGAATTGTCATCACTAGAGTTGCACCAATTATTTGCCCATTTTGGTTTTCCGATTTTAAAAACCCCCTCACTGCTTTTGCCTATTTTATCACGCTACGCATTGTAAACACCACCTCAAGAACTTGGCTTCAATGTTGGGGTGTAAATATTCAGAATGAATAACAAAGAGAACATGCTGTACCATCTTTAAATTAACATTCAGGAATGAAAAGCGACAAAAAAGCTATTTAGTTAAGTTGCCAGCAAGGGAGTTGTTTTGTTCCGGATGTCAGGGTATTTGAAGCACACTATTGTTTGGGGCTGCTGTTCATGTGGGCTGAGGAGTCCACACGGCAAGTGCCCACTTCACTCCATTTGCAGCGCTGTGAAGTGCTTTCTGGATCCCTTGAGCACAAAAATCAGATCCCACTTCCAATCTGTTCCTCCCGATAAAAGGAAGCGTTTTCCTCCGCCAGAAACAGCAAAGAGGCTCTTGAAATTCTACTCATTGCGGAAGGGTGAAAGGGTGGCGTCCTTTCAGACATTGACCTGTGCTCTTCCTGCTTCACCTTCCTGCCAGGGAAGTTACCATGGCAACAAACCAAGCCAGATCAAACAATGTTTAAATGACATCATCAAGTGGCTTCAGCCTAACCAAAGAACAGGCTTTGTCCCCACAGAGCAGCCATGAATAGAGCAGATGAAAGGGGCAGGGCAGGAAGATGGAGCAAGGCAAAAATCAAGCAAACAAAGAAATACGCTTAACCTCACAATATCAGAAAGGCTGTCAGTAACATTTCCCCTAAAGCTTACATGAAAATGGATTACATGTACACCTCACTTAACAGAAGATCTACACAACACACACAACACAGTGTGTTGTGGCCCATCGCTTGCCCTATTTCTAGTAACTTCATGCATGAACTGAGCTCTGGTTGGGGCCAGTTGGGGCTCATGGCTTCTGGGACCTCCTAGCTGGAAGAAGTTCCTGGAGTGGGGTGCAAGTGGGTGATTTAACTGCCTCGCAATGACTGCATTTGCAAAATGTTAGGCACTCTGTTAGGCTTCAGCCCCCAAATCCGGGTCTCACTCACCTGAATTTCACTGCTGAGACTGAATAAGCTGGCCTTGCCTTCCAAAATTTGCATTTTCAGAAAATTTTAAACTGCATGTGTGTGAATTTAAGTGTTCCATTTCATAGGCACGACTGCCTGGTTAGTTTTCATGCATTGCACCTGCCACTCTCATTAATGAATAACCTCAGGCGCCCACTCTTGCCTTTTGTGAACTGATTCATTTATACTCTTGGCAAGGATGACATCTGAAGGTGATGAGTTCCAAAGTATAAGGTAAAGGACAGGAAGCTGTGTGTGATCTGCAACATAAAAATACGTCTGATGCCTTATAGGAAAAGTCCTTGATTTATACATCATTTTTAATGATGTTAAAAGTTTTGTGTTAACCTACTTGGTTGGTTATATAAAGCAACACATGACAATAGAGTAAATGCCAGGCATTTTGGTGTTGTGCACAACCCAACCAGCTGCCGGGGTAAATGGGACAGCATTGAGCCCATCACCCAAGGGGCAGTTCACAAGAGCAGGAGAACAGCAACAGTAGCAACATCAGGGCTGGGGGGAAGGCAGCTTGGGTTTGTAGTTTGGTAAAGAAGACCCATGATTCCCCCCCCCCATCTGCTCAGCAGTTCAGCCCATAGCTCCTACCTTGCTATAAAAGCTATTGAAATCCCACTGAGTAAAAAGGTGATACA